ATAAAATTAGTGGAAATGCCCCTGCCACATGTCCCTTCTTCCAGGAGCTGGACCAATTTTTAGACAAGGACAGATCTGTGTTCCCCAAAAGAATCAGCAAGAGCCTCCATATTGCCCACAAACCAAATGGGGGCACAAGTCTGGAAACCGCCTCCCAGCCACCCCAACCATCGCAGCAGGATGCATTGATGACTGCCATCGTCATTGTGGAAGGTAGCTTTGCATCTGAATTTCTCCCCATGTGCTCAGAAGGGCCCTTTCATTGTGGGGAGGGGGTGGTTTTTTGGGCTTGCCACAACGGGGCAGATGGAACTTTCGAGGGTTGCTGAATCCATATATAAAGCATGCTTATATCCCACCAGATGCACACCCATAAGGTTGCCATAATTAGAACTTGCTATTCATCTCCTTCAACTGTCTCTCTCTCTATATATGTCCTAAATCTATATATATTTATATCTGTCCCTGGGTTGCTCCCCCATGCACCTTTTCATAATGCTAGATTTTTTGTGCCTGGAATGGAGTAACTTCCCTGCCGCACTGCTATGGAATTATGGGAAAAAAATTTCCTTGAGAAAAAAGGGTCTTTGAAAGACAAGGCTCGCTGTCCAATGAAATGTGTGGATGTGAACATGTATGTTTCATGTTTGGGTGGCTTGATGGTAGCAGTACATTAACTAACAAAAGAAATCCTGCCAGGGAGCCTTCTCCCACATATGTTTGCTTCAATGTTCTACATGGGGGGAACCTCATAAGCATTACCACTGCATGTTGCCATAACGGCCCATGTGGCTGTACTGCTTTTAATAATACATGGTTTACCATTTCACCATTGCTGATGTAAGCTATTCCTCTCCCCCTTTATTTCCCACAGTACCACCGGCCATCTCAGAGGAGGGAAACATCATATTGCAGCTGGTTCCTGTGGTACAGCCATTGCCGGTGGATCTGCATCCGGGTGAAGACATGGTGCCGCAGGACCTTCCGGAATCACCAGCGGCCAGTGATGGTAGGATTTTTTCAGATTGCGGAAAGCACATTAAGGGAAATGCGGTGCTTTTACTGTGCCCACACCTCTGTAAGTAGGCCTCCCAAAGCTAACCCACTGCTTACATTTTCTTATGTTTTTTGTTTGTTCCAGAAACACTGATCACTGAAGAAGGTGCCCAGGAGGAGGCCACACAGTTGCCAGGTGGCGAAAGCCAGGCTTCTGGGCAAAGTGTGGGTAATGACTCCCAACAGGAAGCAGCTGTCCGGAGGGGTAAGTTGATAGAAATGAAATCCCCCCAACCCCTTTCTCTTGGATAAGTAGGTTTGGCCTGTGTGGCCATTTCCAGAAAAGTGTTCTTTCTGGGTATTCCCTGGCATGCCTTCCCCACATCATATTGGGAGGTATGGTCACCCATACCTGTTGAGCACTGCCCCCAAGGAATATTCCATTAAGATGGGTGTGTGGTGCTATTGTACATACGGAATGGTTCACGTGTATATGCATGTACTGTAACTTTTACATATATATCTTTCTCTGTAATGGTGGAGTACCGACTGATTGATATGGGGCAGTGGGCATAGGAAGAAGTCAATCCAGGGATGCAATGCAAGGAATGTAAAGAGTTTTATACCATTGATAGGTTCATACATTATAGACATAAAGGTAGATGGATTGAAGTGCCGATAAATGCACAAATGCTCACATGATGATGCCTGTACATTTTAGATGCATATTATTGAC